CAAACATAATTCTCATTCATCAAGGAATAACAAGTGTAATATCCACTAAAGCACAGTTTAAGTATATAACACCAACAGATGCACTAGTCCCTCGTCGTAGTGGGAGGATTGTCTGGCAGCCCGAATGGTTCATGGGTCTGGGAGAGTCTTCTGAGGCCATCCCAGACGTTCTTGAATCCGACCCATGGACATACACTGAGGCACTCCAAGATCGGGACGCAGAGTCTTGGAAAAAGGCGATGAAGTCTGAAATAGAGTCAATGGACTCTAATCAGGTCTGGGATCTTGTAGAGCCACCCAGTGGCGTTCGTGCCATTGGATGCAAGTGGGTCTATAAGAGAAAGAGAGGAGCAGATGGGAAGGTTGAGACCTTCAAAGCTAGGCTTGTTGCGAAAGGGTACACTCAGAAAGAAGGTATCAATTATGAGGAAACATTTTCGCCGGTAGCCATGCTCAAATCCATTAGGATTCTCTTGGCTGTAGCCGCTCATATGGATTATTAGATTTGGCAAATGGATGTTAAGACCGCTTTCCTTAACGGAAATTTGGACGAGGACATCTATATGCAGCAACCAGAAGGATTCATTGCAAAGGGCCAAGAGCATCTGGTCTGCAAGCTGAAGAGGTCCATTTATGGACTGAAGCAGGCTTCGAGGTCTTGGAACATCCGTTTTGACGAGGTTGTCCAATCGTATAGATTTACCCAATGTCAGGATGAGCACTGTGTGTACAAGAAAAGTGATGGAAACGTGGTGGTGTTTCTAGTGCTGTACGTGGATGACATTGTTCTCATTGGAAAGAGTGTGAACATGTTATCAGACGTAAAGGTATGGTTATCCATGCAGTTTGATATGAAGGATTTGGGAGAAGTAGGACATGTTCTCGTAATCAAGGTCATAAGGGACCGAGAGAAGAAAAAGTTGCGCCTATCCCAATCCACATACATAGATACTGTCCTAAAGCGTTTCAACATGCAGGATTCCAAGAAAGGGGATTTACCCTTTCGGCATGGAATACCTCTATCTAAGAGGATGTCCCTGAAGACGCCTCAAGAGATAGAGGACATGAAGACAGTTCCTTATGCATCGGCAGTAGGAAGTCTCATGTATGGGATGTTGTGCACGCGACCTGATATTTCTTATGCCGTGGGCATGGTAGCAAGATATCGGAGTAATCCAGGACCAGAACATTGGTCTGCGGTAAACCATATACTCAAGTACCTTCGCAGGACTAAGGAGTACATGTTGATTTACCAGGCAGATGAGTTGCTTCCGTTGGGTTACACCGATTCTAACTTCCAGGCAGATCGAGACGAAAGCAAGTCAACCTCAGGATTTTTGTTTACTTTAGGAGGAGGAGCCATAGTATGGAGGAGTGTCAAGCAGAAATGCGTGGCGGACTCAACCATAGAGGCTGAGTATGTAGCAGCCTCAGAGGCAGCGAAAGAAGTTGTCTGGCTCAGGAATTTTCTCCTCGACCTTGTGTGGTACCAAGTTTGCCCGCTGCAATTACAGTGTTTTGTGATAACAACGGAGAAGTAGCAAATTTGAAGGAGCCACGGACTCATAAAGCGAGTAAGCACATAGAGCGCAAGTACCACTTGATACGAGAAATCGTTGGACGAGAAGAAGTCGTTGTTGCCAAGATACAATCAGAGGACAACCCAGTAGATCCTTTTACGAAGAGCCTACCGGCGAAAGTCTTTACAAGACACGTAGAAGAAATGGGAGTCAGATGTTAGGGAAACATTGTAGACTAGTCTTTGAGAATTAGATTTAAAGAAATTGTGGTTAGTTTGTTTTTAGCCATGAGCTTATAAAGCATAAATGGGAGATTGTTAGAGGTATGTTGTAAAAGCTATGTTTTGCAGATTCTATCAATTCCATTTTGATCTGGCCATCATGTTTTAGTCAAAGTACACATGATTGCAGTTTATTTATTTATGCAAATCTTACTCCATGTCTTATATTGAGGTAGTGTGGTTCGAAGTGTTTCGAATAGAAATATCACCTATCGGTTCCTTATAAGACTAAATCATTCGTTCACAGTCTAGACTGGCAGTGAGACCCCACTTAAAAAAAGACCGTAGTGTATTCTTGATTCAGTTGGTCTTTGACTGAAAAATTACACTAGCACTTATGTTAAGTGTTGAACAGGACCGCGGAAGGCAATGGTTATGAGACTCACTGACCGTAGTTGTAACCTCGTCCTTTAGTGATTGATGTGTTCTCTTAAGCTGCAAGATAATATAAAATAGGCATATGTTTTTAATTCTTAGTTATTTGATTTATCAAGTGATTCTTATTCTGTTAGGATGACATACGAGGTATTTTGGTAAGTAAGAATAATTATATGATGTGATATTATAAATTATTTACAGTCACTATGTTCTAGTGCGCTGGATTGATGACGTCCCCGAAATGAGCTCAGGAATGTATCTTATGTTAAACCCTGCAAGTAGACGATTGTCTGGCATAATGGTTAAGGATCTGAGTGGACTAGTTTCAGAAATGAATAAGAAGTTGATTAATTACTTTGTCAGTAATTTAATTATAGAGGCTCGATTTTATTGCTAAAATAGTGGCTAAATGGGGAGAGCAATAATATTACTCTAGTGGGATGTTTTATTATTTGATTCCATTAAATAGGAATTAATTTTATTCCATATTAATTAATTTAATTAGGAGAATAAAATTCCTACTAGAATCTTCTCTAGTGTTAGGAGATTTTGGAATCTTCTGGAAGATGGAGATTAGTAGGAAAATTTCCTAAATTATATTATTAATTAGTAAAATTAGGTTTCTTAAATTAGGAATTAATTCTATTCAATAATCATTAATTTGATTAGGAAAAGTTTTCCTCCAAGGATCTACTCTAATGTTAGAACACTTAGGAGTCTTCTAGAAGAGTTGGATTAGTAGGAGGTTTCCTTACTAGATTAAAATTAGTAGTTGGATTAGAATTAGGATTCCTAGGTCTAATGGGATAAGCCCATATTTAGCACCTCCTTAAGGTCTCTAATGGAGCCTATAAATACACCATGTCCCAACCTCTCCTACAAGTAATGCTGGCCGATTTTCTCTTCTACATACACGAGAGAATTACTTCGTTCGAGAGTTAGGGAGATTCAATTAAACGATCCACCAAGTTTAATCGAAGTAGGTGTTTAGGTAATCCGTTAGAAGGCTTTTGGATACAATTTATTCGAGCATTTATATTTATATTTTTCCGGTCATCATCATCACATCACCGCCGCCGTTCGACGCCGTGAGCCACCGCCGGAAACTGCGTACCACCGCTGGTCGCCGCCCAAGCCCAGTCAATCGCATCTACCCTCTACCGCAAGCAGTCGCGTATCGCCCAGGCCTTGCCAGCGACACCCATCGATTCCCAACAACGCCAAGTCGACGCCCGCGAGCTTTTAGAAACCACCTGCCAGCTCGCAGTCCGCCCGCGTAGCCAGTCGACGCTTGTGCGAGGGCACAGCGTCTGTCCGTTACACGCGCGCTATTCCTCGCACATTTAGGAGTCGCGTACAACACGCCCGCGTGTTCCCAAACGCGCACGCCTAGTCCGATACCACCTAGGAGTGCTGTCCCCGCACGCGCACGACTCCCCAATGTCCGTCCGTGTTCCCAGCGTCCGTCCATGTCTCCCGCTAGCTCCCGACGCGCACATGCACGCTGCCAGCACACGCTAGCTGTTGTTCGCAACACAAACGCCCGTGCCCAGCGCCCGACGCGCGTGACATCCGCGACCAACCCGCTGCACCCCAATGACCAAGACCCGCTTGCCGTGTGAACCAAGCTTCGTGGAACCTATCGATTAGAATATATTAAAGGCCAAACCTATCCACCCATTAGGTTGTGGTGTTCAGATGAACTTCATCAACTGTACTCTACATCGTCTCAGAGTCGGCAAAAAAATTTTAAAAGGTAAACGTCCATATCCTAACT